CATTTCCTAGGCAACCATCATGGAGTGTGGTAAGTTCTGATTTTAGGCACAGAGGATAAGCAACCCCATCTTTTCACAATCACTGAAGTTCATCAGACTTTCACTGGGTCTCTATGGTATGTAACGCACACAGATATAAAGATGACTTAGATGCAGTCTCTTCAAGAAAGGGACAAAGATTGCTATGTGCTCACCAGACCTGTTTCCTCTGCTGCCTGGGCACACAGATAGCTGGCATTTCCCAGCCTCCCTTGCGGGTCAGTTTGCCAAGTCCCCGAGTCTGGCAGGGGGATATGGGCATCAATGATGTATTGTACTTCCATTGCTGTAAGAAATTTCCCATGTAATCCTCCACGTGTTCTCTCTTTTCCTGTCCATTTCCTAGAAACTAAGGACTCCAAGGCCTTAGGGGATGGCAAAGCCATAATATAAAAAGAGTTAGGGCTCCTGAATCATTGAGTGGAAAGCCACCAGCTGAACACCTGGTGAGATTTTATATGAGTAAGAATTAAGTTTCCACTGTGTCAAGTTACTGAGGTTCTGGAGATTATCTGTTACGGCAGTGAGTGCCACCGTAAGGTCATTTAATTATAATGTAAGAAGTGCAGGCATAGAGTTAAACAGGGGAGAGGAGATACTGCCCTGCTCGGCTCATACCTGAATCAGCCTTGAAAAATGACTTAATCTCGTAAAGAAAATAAAGACCATCACAGGCAGAGAAAACACATGATTAAAGGATAAGCGGTGAAAAGCAAAATACATACAGGGAAGTTTGTGCATACCAATGCCAATGAGAGCATAATGAGCATAATATGCAAAATATGCAGTGGTCAGAGGAAAATGGACATGAAAACCCTCAATGTGAATCCTTGTGTGAATTAGTGAATCCTCCTAATTGGGCTATTTGGGTAAAGTTACTCAGTCAATCTGGATCATTTGCTTCATCTGCAAAATGGTGACAATGCCTATGTCACAGAAAATCTTAAACCAGTACTAAGTACATCATGGAGTCCCCCCAAATTCCCCCAGTACTTTATCTTTCTTTTATAAGATTTTCCTTGAGAAAGCCGCACACATGTGCTGTGCTGAGGAGCATAGACAAGACACACTAGTAAATTTACACCTTTCATTCCTCCTTGTGAACTACAGAAACATTAATAGATTCCTACAAAAAACCACGCTTCTGCGCTGTCGCAGCCTGGCAGTCTCGGTCACAACATCTATTTCTGCTTTATTGACTATGCCAAAGCCTTCGACTGTGTGGATCACAATAAACTGTGGAAAATTCTGAAGGAGATGGGAATACCAGACCACCTGACCTGCCTCTTGAGAAACCTGTATGCAGGTCAGGAAGCAACAGTTAGAACTGGACACGGAACAACAGACTGGTTCCAAATAGGAAAAGGAGTACGTCAAGGCTGTATATTGTCACCCTGCTTATTTAACTTAAATGCAGAGTACATCATGAGAAACGCTGGGCTGGAAGAACCACAAGCTGGAATCAAGATTGCTGGGAGAAATATCAATAACCTCAGATATGCAGATGACACCACCCTTATGGCACAGAGTGAAGAGGAACTGAAAAGTCTCTTGATGAAAGTGAAAGAGGAGAGTGAAAAAGTTGGCTTAAAGCTTAACATTCAGAAAACTAAGATCATGGCGTCTGGGCCCATCACCTCATGGCAAATAGATAGGGAGACAGTGGAAACAGCGTCAGACTTTATTTTTTGGGCCCCAAAATCACTGCGGATGGTGACTGCAGCCATGAAATTAAAAGATGCTTACTCCTTGGAAGGAAAGTTATGACCAACCTAGATAGCATGTTAAAAAGCAGAGACATTACTTTGCCAACAAATGTCTGTCTGGTCAAGGCTATGGTTTTTCCACTGGTCATGTATGGATGTGAGAGTTGGACTGTGAAGAAAGCTGAGCGCCGAAAAATTGATGCTTTTGAACTGTGGTGTTGGATAAGAGTCTTGAGAGTCCCTTGGACTGCAAGGAGATCCAACCAGTCCATCCTAAAGGAGATCAGTCCTGGGTGTTCATTGGAAGGACTGATGCTGAAGCTGAAACTCCAATACTTTGGCCACCTCATGCGAAGAGTTGACTCATTGGAAAAGACCCTGATGCTGGGAGGCATTGGGGGCAGGAGGAGAAGGGGACGACAGAGGATGAGATGGCTGGATGGCATCACCGACTCGATGGGCATGAGTTTGAGTAAACTCCGGGAGTTGGTGATGGACAGGGAGGCCTGGCAAGCTGCGATTCATGGGGTCGCAAAGAGTCAGACATGACTGAGCGACTGAACTGAACTGAACAAAAACCACAAAGAGTTTTCATTTATATTGGCCAGATATACTTAATAGCTTTATGCACACATGCGTGCTAAGTCGTTTCAGTCATGTCTGACTCCTTATGACCCTATGGACTGTAGCCTGCCAGGCTCTTCTGTCCATGGGATTTTCTAAGCAAGAATACCGGAGTGAGTTGTCATGCCTTCCTCCAGGGAATCTTCTAGACCCAGGGATCGAACCCAAGTCTCTTACCTCTCCTGCATTGGCAGGTGGGTTCTTTACCACTAGCACCACCTGGGAAGCCCTAACAGCTCTCTATAAGGCTGTTAAAAACTCTACAGAACTCATCACAATTGCACTCTCCTTAGCATTCATCACCCATGACTACAAAGAACGCTCCCTCATTACACAAGTGCATATACAGGTAGCTCCATCTCCCTGCACACCATGCTCCTATGCTTTATGTGATGAGAGATGTAAATTCTTTTCCCCCAGAGGAAAAGTCTATTTTATCATTAGGGTTTGTGTGCCAACCAAGGACCAGTGGTCTCCCAATTATCAACAGGACTAGTGGGGACTTCCCTGGTGGTCGGACGGCTAAGACTCCACACGCTCTCACTGTAAGGGGCCTGGGTTTGATACCTGGTCAGGGAACTATACCCCACATGCAGCAATTAGGAGTTAGCATACCGCAACTAAAGATCCAGCGTGTCTCAACTAAGACCCGGCACAGTCTAATAAATAAATATAAAATAAAATAATCTTCGTATAAAGAAACAAACAAAAAACCAGAACTAATGAACCAGATAGTGAGCAATCTCTTGTTATATCACATACTCTGAGGATGATTTAAATGAAGAAACGTTTTACCTTATGCTTGTCAAATAAGAGACTTCAGAGATAGTCTATTCTATGAGTAACAAACTCAAATTCTTCCAGGGGCCAACTCGAATGTGGGGTTCTGCAGAAACGAGAGAGAACGGGGTCCAACTGCAGGCGTTCAAATCACTGTCAGCCCTGACCTCATCTCACGGTTTCATTCCCCATCTAAAGAAACTGAAGAGATTAGGTTCAGCTGACATTTGGAGGCTACATAGCAAACATAGTATGCAGCGTTGAGCGGAAAACAGAAACCATGTCAAGTATTTAAGCCAAAAGAGATTTTATAGAAAGAATTAGGTGACTTGGCCAAAGGCTGGAGATTGTTGAAAGGGCTACAAGTGCAGGGTCTTGGCTGGGCCTCCAGGAGTAACTTCTAGAACACCAGTGGATGAGGCACTGGGGAATATACTATTTTTGACACAATCGGGAGAAACCTTGGAGTTCAAGAACATACTGCAGCTCTGACCCTGAGAAGCTGGGATCTGGAAGCTTATCTGGGCAAGGAACTCAGAATCTGTTCTCTACCTCCCTGCGCTGCCTCCTGATAGCCAGAAAGCTGATGATTCAATATGGCATGCTGAGACTGGTTACTCTAAGCCCCTCCCCACACCCACCGGCATCTCGTGCACTTCCCGTGCCAACAGAAAAGAGCCAAAAAAATATCAGGGAGACTGTCTGTCTCATCTCTGCCTCTGAGATCTCAGACAAGCCATCCAGAAGTCTAATTCACATCCAGAACTCTAAATGGACCGGAGTCTGAGAAATGTTTTCAGCTTTCCAGTTTCTCCTATTCAGGAAGGAACGCTAGCAGCAGGTAGGACTGAACGTGAGTGCCAAACTGCCATTCCCAGCACAGCAGCTTTTCCTGTCGGCCCCAGGGATCAGGTCCCCACCACTGACTTGTCCTCTCTTACCCCATCATACCTTCTATGGAAGCCTCCCCAAAGCAAAAATCTAGTCAATAGGGCTGTAATTCTAAAGACCTTACGCTAAAAAATACGTGGACGGGTCATTTTATTCACATCATTAGGTACAGGGTAAACCACACTACCTAATTGACTTGTTAGGTATATTCTGACCCATTGGATTTTGCTGAATGGCAGAGACTGTATTTAATTCATATTTGCATCTCCTGTCCCCAGGTCTGCTTGACCCAGAGAAGATTCCCCGGGCATTTGCCGAATTGAAATGGTTTACTATTGACTCACTAATGGAAACAGTAAACCGGAATTTCATGAGCTACAGGATAGCCCCAATAGTATCAGGAGGCGGCCCGCTACAGAGGCATGGGGGGAAGGGGGTTTTCGTTTTTCAGAAGAAACAGATGTCGATCTGGCTAAGCAAGGTACCTGCTGTCTCTGTCCACTGGTGTCTTGGATTTCTCGATGGGATGCTAAAGTTAGTGGTGTCTTCCCACTATGATTCTTTTGGGGCAACAAAACACGCCAGAGTCCAGGGTGAGATTACAAGGATGCCAAAAGAAGCTGATGCCTGATAAGTAAAATACAGCCACAGACTCAGCGTGAGCTCTGAGCAGGGGCTTATTTATATTCCCCAATCAGCAAGATCTGATTAGTCTCAGCACATTAGGGGGGCTAACCTAGGTCAGCACCCCCGACAACGTCTGGTGGATCTGAGAACAAAAACAAAAACTTACTCCAATAACAACGGTAGACAGACACACACAGCCAGCCGGCCAACCAGCCTCCACGCCGCGTACAACCAGAAGGCGCGGGGCGCTCGCTCTCCGCGTCCCGCCCGGCACAAAGCTGCAGCCGCGGCGCCGCTTTAATTTACACTCACTGCCCTCCAGGGGGTACTCACCTCGCGCTCTCGGGCTCCGGCCCCCGTCTCAGCCCGGTAGATTAGAAAAGGGGCTCGCAGGCCTGCGGGGGAGCCGGGTGGAGCGGGTTTCCTGCTGGCGCATCGCCCCAGGCGGCGCCGAGGCTGCAGTTATTTAAGATAGCGGGACTGCGCGGCCCCACCCCGCCCCGCCCGCGGAAATCCATTTAATATGCTATCTAGGTTGGTCATAACTTTCCTTCCAAGGAGTAAGTGTGTTTTAATTTCATGGCTGCAGTCACCATCTGCAGTGATTTTGGAGCCCCCAAAAATAAAGTCTGACACTGTTTCCACTGTCTCCCCATCTATTTGCCATGAAGTGATGGGACCGGATGCCATGATCTTAGTTTTCTGAATGTTGAGCTTTAAGCCAACTTTTTCATTTCCTCTTTCACATCCATCAAGAGGCTCTTTAGTTCCTCTTCACTTTCTGCCATAAGGGTGGTGTCATCTGCCTATGTGAGGTTATTGATATTTCTCCCAGCAATCTTGATTCTAGCTTCAGAGGTCTCTTAAACAGTCTCATTTCTTTTTTTTTTCTCTCTCTCTCTCTCTTTTTTTTTTTCTTTTTTCCTGTTCGTCAGCAGTGATTTCCACCATAGAGTCTTTATGTGTTAGGCCTAAGAAGTGATGTCACTTATTAAAAATGAATGAGAAAAATAGGTTCAATATAGTTAATGAAATATTCTTTAATTATAGGTGTCTGTGTGGAAGAGGAAACTTCCTTTCATATACTCCAAAGATCTTGATCTTATCTTTAACAAAAATAGAGATTATTAAACTAATTATCATATGTTAGAAACACTTTACTTGAACCTAGATACAGTTTAATCAATTCTGTTGATTTAGCTCTAAAAACATTGCAGGTTAGGGAAAGATTCTTAAACATGAACTGAGTAAAGTGGACCCTCAAACAAGGTGGGGTTTAAGAGTACCTACTTCACCCCTCAGTCTCCACAGCCCAAGTCTAAGTATCACTGTCTCTGCCTCAAAAACAAAGGAATTGTTATAAGACTTACCCAAGGGCAGAAAATTGAAACAGTTTAGATAGGATCAGGACCCAGACCCTAGTTCTTTTTATTTCTCATATTGTGTTCCTTAATGGAATACTTTCCCCCATACTTAATTTAAGTATCTGTAAAATGAAAATACTATACTGGGGGGAAAAAAAAAGCCCTGTATAAATGGGCCTGCACAGTTTAAATCCATGTTATTCAACAGTGGAAACAGTGGCAGACGTTATTTTATTGGGCTCCAAAATCACTGCAGATGAAATTAAAAGATGCTTGCTCCTTGGAAGAAAGTTTATGACCAACCTAGACAGCATAGTAAAAAACAGAGACATTACTTTGCCAACAAAGGTCCATCTCGTCAATGCTATGGTTTTTCCAGTAGTCATGTATGGATGTGAGAGTTGGATTATAAAGAAAACTGAGGGCTGAAAAATTGATGCTTTTGAACTGTGGTGTTGGAGAAGACTCTTGAGAGTCCCTTGGACTGCAAGGAGATCCAACCAGTCCATCCTAAAGGAGATCAGCCCTGGGTGTTCATTGGAAGGACTGATGCTGAAGCTGAAACTCCAATACTTTGGCCACATGATGCGAAGAGCTGACTCATTGGAAAAGACCCTGATGCTGGGAAAGGTTGAAGGTGGGAAAAAAGGGGTCAACAGAAGGTGAGATGGTTGGATGGCAGCATAGACTCAGTAGACATGAGTTAGGGTAGACTCCGAGAGTTGGTGATGGACAGGGAGGCTTGGCGTGATGCAGTCCATGGGGTTGTAGTCATATACGACTGAGCGACTGAACTGAACTGGATATTATATATATATCTCACCTCCCTTTTGAGCCTCAGCAAATATCATATATTAACACACATACATGAAATCTAGAAAAATACTAGTGATGAACATATTTACAGGGAAGGGATGGAGACAATCCTGTGGGTGCAGCAGGGGAAGGAGAGGATAGGACAAATTGAGAAAGTGGCATTGACATATATACACTATCTTGTGTAAAACAGATAACTGGTGGGAAACTGCTGCATAGCACAGGGAGAACAGCCTGATGCTCTGCAACTACCTAAAAATTAATTTTAGCTTTCCTTTATTTTAAATGTATTTTCATTATTAAAAATATTAATAAAGCAGCAATATTTACATTGTGAGATTTCTCCATGTTTCTATACAGTTTATTTTCTTTGTGATCTTCAGTATTTTCCTTTATATATTTAAAACATCATTCTGAGAAGAAGACAGTAGGATTCCACAGACTGCCAAAGGAGTCCATGGGAAGGAAATAAAGATATAGAACCTGAGGTAGCACACATGGGCAGGGAAAACAAGAAAGATCCAATAGACAAGAAAGTTTCTGAAGGAGAGAGAGGAAAAGGAAAAGGGGAGAGGATCCAGAGCATCACAGTGGGTTGACTTTATTGGGGAGTAGAAACAGTTATTCCTTTGTGGCATGAGGGAAGGCATAGTTGCTTTGAACAGGGATGCATGTGACTTTATTGATGTATTGATTATGTCTGGTTTTGAGTATTTTTACAGTAAAGTAAAAAGTGGGTGAATCAAAAAAGTGAATGAAGAAAGTAGTATTAGAAGTTTGAAGAGAGAAGGCACGAAATAATAGGATTTGGGGGCATGTTTGAATACCAGTTTGAGGGCTTCATTGTATATTCTATCATGAGTTATACGAGTATATATTTTCCTGTAATCAGTGAACACAGCTGATGTTTCAAGAAAGGTTGGACATAATTTTTTAGTCTATATAACAGACGGAAAGCAAAAGATTTTAGTGCGTTTGCATGCAAGTGTTATGATGAGCATCAGACATGAGTTAAATAGACAACTGAAGAAAGAAGGGAGCATGATAATGAGAAGGTAATAAAACATTGGGGCTGATTGGATTATTGCAGTAATTGAGCTGGTAGAAGTTACCAGAATGAGATGTGAACAGGTCAAAGCTTGAGATGCTTGAAATAGAAATGTCTGTGATGGTGTATTGATAGGGTCTAGGGTAGGAGTTGGAAAAGGAAATGGCAACCCACTCCAGTGTTCTTGCCTGGAGAATCCCAGGGACAGCGGAGCCTGGTGGGCTGCCATCTATGGGGTCGCACAGAGTCGGACACGACTGAAGCAACTTAGCAGCAGCAGCAGCAGCAGCAGGGTAAGAGTGTTATGGAACTCAAATTCAGCTCCTTACCACTTGAAGCCAATAATTTAAGAAGCCAAGTGTCAGTAGAAAGGGAAGATGGTTTAATTAGAAAAGCTGGCAATCTGGGGAGAAGGTGGATTCATGTCTTCAGACCAAATCCAAATATTTTGCTCACTCTGGACAGTTTTTCAGGGAAAATACGGGAAGAATCTCAGTGAATCATAGAGGCAGGAGCCTGGGTTCTGTATTCTTCTCCATTGCATGAAGGCTGACTGGCTGTCACTACGGATGTTATTTTGCCTGTGTGATCTGCCTGCAAGATTGCTAAGGAGGCAATTAAGGGTAGAGAGCTTGTCATTCTTTACTTAATTCTTCATTCTTACTTCTAGCAACAGGATATCAAAGAATCAACAGGTTAATTAGGTTCTTTCAAGGTTAGAAGGGAACAGAAATGGGCAAATAGGAAATGGGAAGAAGAGCTGTTTTCAGGAGGGAGGATGGGAGTGCCTAGCGAAGATGAGGGCAGGGAAAGACTGAAGACAACTAGGTCACACCACTGAGAGGCCAATACATTTACCTGACAACGACCATATGAAAGATGAGGATTCCTATTTTCATGAACGATAGAAGATAACCTAGAAAATGGCTATGACAGAAATGAAGGAAGTTGGTGGGTGGTATATCAAAATGCAAACGCTTCAAAGAAGCTACGGATTTTGAAGGAAGGCAGCAGGAAGAAGAAAGCCTACTGACCACAGAGCCTGACTGTAAGGCACTATAAGAGTGAGCTATGCTTTATATTAATACTTGGAGTTCTGGCCTTCATAAATCTGAGCTTCATGAAACTAAAATTTGATAAAATGAAATTTGGTTACTGATCAAATAATTTTCCTCCAGAAGTTCCTTACCTTGTTCCTTTGGATCAGCCCCACAGTCTAGGCTGCTGCAGATTACATCTTACTGAGTTCAAAAAAATAAAATAAAATGAAGTGATGTGCTATAGAAACAGAGGACAGGAGAACAATTCTTGGAACTTGTTTTGTGGCATGATATATTTTACATATCTAAGTATTTAAATTATCTCTAATGAAAAGCAAAAAAATTTGGGAAACTTGATAACAATGTGAGAGCCTTGTTTCTGCCTAAGATTTGGTGAAGATCTTCAGAAGGAAAGATTTTATTTCTGGCAACAAAGAACTTATAGGTTCAGAGGAATCTTTCCACTACAGCACATACAAAATACAAAATATTTTTAAGACATTCTTTATAGAGCAAAAAAGTAAGAAAATCCTCTTTGAATAAAAACAACAGCAAAGCAAAAATCCCTAGGAGCACATGAGTGCTAAAGCCAACAATGGCCCTGAGCTACTTCCTCACTCTCTCTTTTTTTCTCCTTTTCCCTAAGTCTCTTGGTATCTTTTCTGACTTTACCTTCTATCCAGGTGTTTACATTGTGCCCTTGTCTTTGCTGCTTGTGACTTTGCAGCATCAGTGATGCTTTACCATTCTTGATCAACCAAGCAAATTAAAACCCTCATAGAGTCTGTTTTGTTTTTACAAATACAATGCTATTTCCATGATTATCATAAATCTTTCTTTGCAATTTTCCTTTTATTTCTTCTGAAGTGACTAAAATGAATTCCTTTTATCTGAAGATATTAGGTAATGAAAAAAACTACCACTGTTCCAGTATTCTGCAATATTATCCTATACTTTTGGTTTTGCTACATACATTCAATGGATTGGAAGTGTTTGTTTTATCCATACTCTTTTAAAAAACTTTTTTTAAATTGAAACATAGTTTATTCACAAGGCTGTTTTAGTTTCAGGTGTACAGCAAAGTATTTATATATGCATATATTCTTTTTGGGCTTCTTTTTCACTAGAATTTATTATAAAATATTGAGTATAATTTCCTGTGCTATAGAATAGATCCTTATCGATTAT